AACTGGCGCCATGCTGCAATTCGGGCGCCACTTTCAAATACTGCATTTTTCAGTTCTGCCCTCGGGGCCTTTGCAGAAATGCCCCTGGTACCGTACGTGTCACCGGTACTTATACCGGCTCCCCGTACGGTACGGGGCACCAGTCTCGTACCAGTTCTCTGCTGCTGTACTCGTACTTAGTGTGACTTGCTGTTTCGACATTCGGAATCCAAGACTTCGACTTTGTGCCTTGCCACTGTGTCTGCGTCCGATCCTCGGTTCGAGTCCATCGTGTCGAGTGAGTGAGTGTGTGTGTGTGCTCTCACTCTCTCCCTCTCTCTCCTCTCCCTCGGCTCACTCTCAGCCTCACGCTCGTTACAGGTCCCATACAATCAGATTGAGTGGGGCCTAGAGGAAGAGGACAGTAGTGGGGGTCAAGGGAGGACCTACACTGCTGTCGCGGTTGGAGGGAGGCCGCAAGGAAGAGGAGGCCAGGGCCAAGGGGAACGGGCCTCAGGTGGCCGAGGACAGGGCGGTCAGGGGGTTGGCGGCAGAGGAAACCGCCAAGAGGGAGGTAGGGGTCAAGGTCCCCCACCAAATCGTTCGCGATCTTATCGGTCACCTCCAAGAAGAGGTGGATGGCACCCAGGCTTGCCACAAGGCAAGCCATGGGGAGATTTGGGCTTGGACCAATTAGTATGGCAGCATCGTGTGGACGAGGATCAGTGCATTTATTGCGATGATCCTGGCCACATAATTAAATATTTTCCAAAGTATAGAGAAGCCCGTTATGCTGCACAAGCAGCAAAAGGCAATCGTCGATAGGGGCTGCAACTGCCCTTACCCCTAGGCCATGTGGAGAAGAGTGCGTGCGCCACAGTGGAACTCCCAAACCACATGAGCCTACGACAGACGTTGCTGGCCAGTACCTAGATAGTTGTCCAGAGACTGCTTGTGTTAGAGTCTCTCTAGGTACTTCCCTCACAGGCGTGGCTGAAGAGTTGAAGGAGAGGATGCCTCCGTGGGCCAAAAAGAAAAAAGATGCGAAACAACAACTAGTGTTAGTAAATGTAGAGATTTTTAGAGGTAGAGTAGGGGCCCTTATAGTCAGTGGGGCCACCCGCAGCTATATCAGTAGAAAAGCGCTGCAGAAGTTAAAGCTCAATTTGAAGGTCCAAAAGTTAGAAGACCCTATAGTTAGTATCCTCGCAGACAATCGCACTATGCGAGTCGAGGATTACATTGAGGGAGTCCAGGCATACTTTCGCCTGGAGAAAGATGGGAAGGTGGAGAAAGTTCTCCATTCCCTGATTCTCCTCGTAGAGGATAGCCTTCCTTTTGATATGGTCCTAGGAATGGACTGGGGAGAGGCAGCAGGGGCCACACTCCACTTGAGAGAGCACGAGTGTAGGCTCCCTTGTCCCACAGGTGAAGTTAAGACTGCTCGCCTGTTTCATGTGTCGGGAGTAGACAACACTCTGGCACATTGTTGTCTTAGTGCTCCCGCGTTCGCGCATTCAGTGAAGGAGCAGTTAGAAGAGCAGGTTTTTGTAGCCTATGTAAGGTCGGTCACTGAGCCTAAGGGAGAGAGACCCATGGATCCTGCTATTGCCAAGCTGTTGGAGGAGTATACAGACTAGCTAAGCCGCCTACAGGAGTCGTGCCGCGGCCAATCCAGCATTGCATAGAGATAGAGTCGGGCAGTAGGACTCCTAAGGGTGTTGTGTATAGAATGTCCCCGAGGGAGTTAGAGGAGTTAGAGGAGTTGCGTAAGCAGTTAAACGAGCTCCTCGAAAAGGGTTGGATTAGGCCCAGTTTTGGAGCACATGTTCTTTTCGTCCCCAAGAAGGAGGGATAACTCGGGATGTGCATAGACTATAGAGGTCTCAACGTCGTCACAGTAAAGAATGTAGAACCACTGCCCCGTATGATATGTTGGATCGAGTGCATGGCTGCAAGTATTTTTCAAAGATAGATTTGAAATCTGGTTATCATCAGATAGAAGTCCACCCTGATGACCAGTATAAGTCAGCGTTTTGGACGCGATATGGGCACTACGAGTTTATAGTCATGCCCTTTGGATTAACCAATGCTCTAGCAACAAGCCAGCGTCGTATGAATGATTTGTTTAGGTCGTGGTTAGATTCGTGATAGTGTACTTAGATGACATTCTAGTTTTTAGCAAGACGCTCCAGGAGCATGAGGGTCATCTGAGGCAGGTCTTGGAGAAGCTTAGAGAAGTTAACTTCAAGATCAGCGCCAAGAAGTGCGAATGGGCCAAGACACAAGTTTTGTACTTAGGCCACGTCTTAGACGGAGACGACATAAAACCCGAAGATAACAAGATTGCAGCGATTAGAGATTGGCCAACGCCCCACACGCTGATAGAGTTGCGGTCGTTCTTAGGCCTAGCTAACTACTATAGGAAGTTCGTCAGAAACTTCTCCACCATCACTGCACCCCTTCACAGGTTGCTAAAGAAAGAAGCAATCTGGAAATGGGACAAGGACTGTACATCAGCCCTGAGGAAGTTGAAGCAGGCTTTGATAGAGTATCCAGTCCTTAAGGTAGCCGATCCGTCCCTGCCTTTTGTTGTTACCACTGACGCAAGTCAGTATGGCATAGGTGTTGTTTTACAGCAAGACGATGGCAATGGATATAGGCCCGTAGAGTGCATGTCTGCCAGGATGCCTTGAGAGAAGGTAGCGATATCCACCTATGAGAGGGAACTTTACGCTCTCAGGCAAGCATTAGAGCATTGGAAGCTTTCTTGCTTGGGAGGCACTTCAAAGTCTATTCAGACCATGAGACACTAAGGTGGCTGAAGACAGGCCAAGATGACACCTAAGCTTACTAGGTGGGCCGCAGAGTTAGATCAGTATGACTTCGAACTTAAGCCAATCAAAGGGAAGTCGATGTAGTTGTGGACGCACTAAGTAGAAGAGATGATTACTTTGGGGCAATAGTTCACTATTTGGATATAGGGAGAGACATGCAGCAGACAGTTAGAGAAGCATATGCACAAGACCCTGTCTATAGTGACCTCAAGAGAGTTAGGGAGCCCCCCGAGTCCGAACCAGACTACCGCACTACTGATGGATTACTATTTGAGAAAACTAATGTAGTTGATTGTCTGTGCGTTCCTGACAGTGAGGAGATCCGTAGTTTGATCTTAGGGGAATGCCACGACACAGAGAGACATTTCGGTTGGCAAAAGACACTAGCCAACCTCATGCGCGCGTATATCTGGCTCGGAATGAAGGCCGACTACATAGAGTATGTACGCAGTTGTAAAGTCTGTCAGAGAAACAAGACTACTACGCGAGCCCCTCTTGGTCTTCTCAGACCCTTCCCTATTCCTGATAGACCCGGAGATTCTCTGTCCATTGACTTTATGGAAGTTGGGGTCAAGAGTAGGCATGGCAAAAGTCAAGTCATGGTTGTAGTGGATAGACTTAGCAAGTATGCAACTTTTATCCCCTTGCCTGCAGAGGCACGGACAGATTTAGTAATTCATAAGTTCTTTGACCATTGGGTTAGTGAGCATGGTATACCACTGTCGATAGTTAGTGACAAAGATACCAGGTTCACCAGTGAGAGTTGTTGATGTCGTCTGGCCGTCATCCTGAGACTAACGGTCAGACTGAACAGATGAACAAGCTCCTGCAGCAAGTTCTTAGAATGTCCATTAGGCCCGACTAGATCAACTGGATGAGATGCTTCCAAAGTCATACAATATCAGCGTGCACTTAGCGACATGTCGCACTCCCAACGAACTGCATAAGTCCTTTTGACCACACAGACCATTTGAAGGACTTCACAGGGATCAGATTAAGAGGTTACCGCCCGGTACACGGGAGTTTGCGATACAGCACGAGAAAGAGATAGCTACCGTTGTTGATAACCTCAGGAAAGCCCAACACATAATGATAGAGCAAGCTAATAAGCACCGTCGCCCCTCACAGTTTCAAGAAGGGCGTAGTCTGGGTCAAGTCAAAAGAGTTTGCTCCTGAGGAGAACATCTCACAGAAGTCGTTGCCTGCGTATAGAGGATCGTGGCCAGTCCTAGAAGTCAAGGGCGGAGAGGATGGACCGTCCTATACTATTGAGATTCCAGGACTCGTTGGTCCACTTTGGTCCATTCTTTGAAGCATATGTTGTAGTCCCATCTGAATTGTTCCCATTCCTGCCCCTGCGTTTGCCCGTGCGTTTGTCCTCCCTCCCATGGAATGTGTGCGATCCAGCCCCCCTGTTAGCTTCCCAGCCAGTCCCTTGAGAAGTGGTTGATTGCTTGTGTGACGTCTTTTTTTGCGTGGAGCCTGTCCAGTTGGCTTTTAACCTTTTGCCACCGCGTAAGGAGTTCTCGATTGATAAATTGTCTGATCATGTCCATCACTTCCCCCCCTTCTACTTGAACCCCTTCCATGGAAAGTATGCAGCGTTTTCTCTATAGTGCCCAGATAATGGCTCCTTCCTATTTTAAACATGTTCTTGAAGTCGTTGTCTGAGGGGGAGGTCCATGCTTCGCAGAGCAGCGCCCTCCAATCCCATGGCCAGGTGGAATCAGTTTCAAGCAGGCTCCATATCCTGTCCCACCCTCGCCATGTTAGCACCGCCCCTGGGCACTGCAGGAAGATATGTTCTATGGTTTCGGGGATCTTTCGAAACGGGAAGGCAGTGTGGCAAGATTTACACCATGGCAATGCCAAGCCTTTCTGTTCTAGATACGTGCGGTCTACCAGCCAGTTGTTAGTGGGAAGGCAGCGGTGCTCTAACTGCCATTGCAGGGAAGCGAACTTTGCAGGTTTAACTCTCGTGGTTGTAAACCATCGGATGGGGCGAAGGGTTCCCTGTCCCACATTCAGATGGGTCTGCCAGCGGGCCCTCACGATCTCTCTCAAATTCACCATTGGACGTAGCAGCCGGTATGTGTCCTTCACGGACAAGCTGAGCAGCTGCTTATCTGAGGTTTGTGGCGACCTATGTACTGGCTTCCAATGCCACTCCCCCGGGTCGAATGGCAGGTCTACGAGCGGGGTCTCCAGGCGAAACACTATCCATTCATCGTTTTGCCTCAACACCCGGATCTTGTATAATTTCTTGTTCTTGCACCACTTCACCTCCTCCGAGGTATGCCTAGATAGGACATTATCCTTATTCTTGCGGAAGAGGCTGATCTGAGAGGCTGATCTGAGACTCATCGGACCATACCTCTACTACCTTTCCCACACACTCATTGTCCCCCGGGATAGCCACCCAGTCCCCTTGTGTCAGTCGCGGTCCCCTGCGCAGAATGCGCGCCCAATTGAGGGGGGTCGCAAAAATCAATTCTTCCAGGTTTCGTTCGACATCATGACAGTACCTCATCGCGGCTCTCAGTTGCGAAAACGTTTTCCAGGTTTTGTTAGTTGGGTCCCATATATCCTTAATTCTAACTATACCCTTTTTAACCCAGCTGCTCCATGGAGAGTCCGAGCTGCGGTACACCCTCCCATGCCTATCCGTGATGTTCCTATTGCCAAAGAGGGGTTGTCGCATCACCTCTTCCCAGGTGTTTGGCGAGGTTTTCTCTGGCAGCGGCAGCTGGCGCCAGGCCTTTAGAATACGGGGCCAGAAGTCGTCTCTGGACAGGTCCCTCCTTGCTTCATCCCGGCTCGAGATCATGGCAGACCGGGGGCGTCGCGATATGGACTAGTAACGGTCTTCTAGCCAGATCAGAGGGTGTACCCCCCGCGGTGCCTGCGGGGCTAACCTGGCAATCTGTTCCAGCGCTAGGGAAAGCCATGGGAGATCTGGCGTGAACACCATTCTTCTCACCCACTGTATCAGCAGTGCCGTCACCTGGATATCTGGGCCCAAAATTCCCAAGTCGCCTTTGTCTTCAGGCTGGATAATTGACGACCATGCCACCCGACTGATGACATTCGGCAGCCCGCTGTTGCATCTCCACAACAGGGCAGTTACCTGCCTTTCAAGGGATTTGACCGCTTCTTTACTGAGGGCCCAGATTGCAGATTTGTACCATAGAGCAGCCAGTACAGCTATGTTCCCCCCAGGCCGCAGCCCGGTTCGGCCACGGCCGCGGCCTAGGCCTAGGCCGGGGCCCCCCCGACCGCTCCGGCCGAGAACTTCGGCCGCTGCCTCGGCCGATCGGGGAGGGGGTTTGGGGGGTGGGGAACGGGTTAGGAGTCGGGGGGGGCTCCTCTACCCCCTCGCAAAAAAAAAAACATAAGAACTTCGAAAACGGGGGGGTGGATTTCGAAGACTACCAAAAAAAATTAAATAAATAGAAGAATTTTTTTTTTTTCATTGATTGACTATTTTTTTTTTATTGATTGATTGATTGATTGATTGATTGGTTGGTGGGGGAGGGGTCCTCCCTCCACTCCACGGCGCGCGCATACACACACACCCCTCTCTCTCTCTCTCTCTCTCTCTCTCTCTCTCTCTCTCTCTCTCTCTCTCTCTCTCTCTCTC